CATTCTGCATAACATCCTGCAAACGGCTCTTACTACCCGATATTTCATTTATTAGTTTAAAAGACTTCAGAGCCCGAAGAAATCTTCTTCTTGTTCTTTATTATTCTTTATGTTCTTTTTTCTTTTCTTATTTATGTTTTACGCTGATTAATTCTTTTTGTACTGCCGAAATTCCTTCTGGCCGGTGACCGTCCAGAATCATATACAACCGCTGTTAATAAAATATATTGCAAATACTACTAAACGATCAGGTTAGTGAAAAGGTACGGAGAATTATACAGGGAAACGAGGAATAGGGTGAGGATTGGAGGGGAGATATTAAAGGAATTTTGGACAGGAAAGGAGATGAGGCAGGGATGTTCACTGAGCCCGTACCTATTCAACATGATGACGACGGATATGGAAAAGTACCTGGGGAAGAATGGGTGGGGGGGAGTGAAGGTAAGAGGTAAGAAGGTGTACTCTCTGGCATACGCGGATGATGTAGTACTGCTGGCCGAGGAGGAGGACGGAATGAGGGCAATGATGAGGGAATTAGAAAAATATCTGAGGGAGAAAGGCTTGGAATTAAACGTAGGAAAGTCCAAGGTGATGAGGTTTAGGAAAGGGAGAGGGAAGGAGAAAAAGATGGAATGGTGGTGGAAGGGAGAGAAACTGGAAGAGGTAAGGACGTTTAAATATCTGGAATATGTTTTTCAGAAGAATGGGGGGGAGGGAGGCGCAGGTGAAGGAAAAGAAAGAAGTGGCAATAATGGGTCAAGTATGGGGGATAGGAAAGAGAAGATTTGGAAGGGATTAGAGTAGAAGTTTGTGGTTCTTTGATGCTCTGGTGTGGTCGGTAATAGGCTACGGGATGGAGATCTGGAGTTGGAGAGAGTGGGTTGTGGTTGAGAGGTTACAAGACAGGTACTTAAGGTGATTATTGGGGGTAGAAAGAAACGCCGGGATATATAGTGAAAGAGGAAATGCAGAGGGACCTATGAAGAGGTAGGGCGGGGCTCAGAGCGTGGGGATTTGAAGAACGACTGGAAAGGGAGGAAGGCAGCGCTTTAGCGAGATTATGTTGGGAGGAGATAAGGAAAAGGGAGAGAAAAGGAGAGGAGTTGTCGGAATGGGAAAGGGAGGATAGAATAAGGTATTTTGAGGAAAGAGGATTAGACATAACGGAGATGGAGGAAGGGGAAGAAACGGGTGAGAGTAGGGTAAGTCTATTGATAAAGAGAGAGAAGGAGATACAAAGAGAGGAAAGGTGGAATAAGATAAGGGAGTCGAGATATAATAAATATCATGGGGGTATGGGAAAACGAAGAAGGAAGAGGTACCGATATATCTAAGGAAAGGGTGGGGGGAAAGCAGATGCCAGAGAATTGCCAGGTTTAGGTTGGGAAATGAGATGAGAGAGGGTAGGTATTGGGAAAGGGAAGAGGAAAGGGCTGTGTAGAGTATGCGGTTTGGCAGAGGAAGGCTGGAAACACGTATGGGAGGACTGTGGGATTTGGGGAGCAGAGGGAAATTGGGATGATATAGTGGATTTGGTACTGGGTGAAGAAAGGGAGGGGGAAAATGGTTGAGGAGGTTGGACGAATTTAGGAACGAGGGAACAGGAGTGAAAGAGTGAGAGAAAGAGGAAGATGTGATGCGAGTGGAGAGGGGGGGATAATGGGATAACGGAGTGGTGGGATGAATGGATTAAGTAGAGTGAGAATGAGAGGTGAGAATATGAGTGGAGTGAGCGGGAGAGGATAAGAGTAGAAGTGTGATTGGTGTGTATGAGTGGAGCCTGGCTGAAAAGGGTAAAAAGAGGGCGTAGAATGGACTGCCAGAAAAGGAGGTCCGAAATTTAGAATAGGAGTAGGGATAGACGTGTGTGTGTATGTAGGAGTCAATTAAGTTTAAGTTTAAGTTTAAGTTAGTGTTAAGTTGCGAGAATAGCTGTAAGTTAGTTATAAGGCTTTTGTGTATTGTGTATTGAAAATTGTAGCCCTAAGGGGAACCAATAAAACATTATCTATTTATCTACTACTAAACGATCAAGTTCTCTGCCATTATTTAAAAACACTGTCTCTTGAGCCCACGCCTCTCCGTATTTCTTTTCAAACTGAGCTATCAAATTATGCTGCCGTCACGTCGATGTTAATTTGAAGAATCATAGTACTTAAAGTCAAGATTTTGTCGTGCGGCGTGTAAATTCACGCCTGGCGCCCAACTAACGAAATTTGGTAAGTAATTTTTCTTTTAATTATTGGTAGAAGATGTGCCAAAATTGTGCGGCACTCTCGATAAAAGATCCAAACACGAGGTGCCCGTCACAATATATACATTATATATACGAAACACATAAATATGTATAAAAAATTAAAGGTGTTTTTCAACTACGTACACAAGCAAACATTGATATATATATATATATAGGGGAAACCGGTACACAATGAGACACTTCACAAATAATTGTTCATAGAAAGTTTATTTATGAAGAAAATCTTTTTTTTTAATGGAACATACATTACATGTTTACATTGTACGGACAAAATATTGATAAAAAAACAAGTGTTTATAACTTATAAATTTTTATATAAAGTAGTGCAAAATGTCTCATTGTGTACCACCCCGGTACACAATGAGACAACCCATGGTACACAATGAGACANCTCTTTAATCAATGAGCAACTTACAAAACGCTTACGTTTATTATTAAATATAATAGTGCAATATTTTTAGTCTNAATTTAAACNTTATGTTTATTTATTTAAGATACTTTTAACAAATTCTTTTATTAATAATATTCACTTTTATTATGTAATGTTATGCTAATAAAGCTTTTTCTTTTTCTCACTTTAATCTCACTTGTTTAAAAAATTGCACTGTAAAATAATTAAATAACNAGACATTAAAAAAAGCTAATTCTTTATCACTTTTATGGATTAACTAACATCACATTTTTAATTATAGGAACTCAATGCTTAATAATTATCAAATTGCAAATCGCGTGAAACACTTTTTTGCTCTACAAACTTGGAGTTTTCTTTTGAACTTTTCTTTTTTTTAGCAAGACCCTTACAATTTTCATTAATTTCTCCTTCAAGAGTAATCTGTCTCTTATTCTTCCGAGTGCAGACAGTCTTCTCAAATGTTTCACCACTTGCTTCCAATGAATTCTTGACTTTTTTAGACTTGATTTGACTTTTTAGACGGCTTTTTAGGCTTGCTGGATTTGTTCGCCTCATCAGCTTTTTTGTTTTCTTTTTTGATGACTAAATTCTTCTCAGGAGTGTTGGTCACAATCTTACTTTGGCCTTTTTCTCTTTTTTGTCGATTCGCTTTGCGCGGAGCTGTTTTAGGAAATGCGACAATGTCTTCCGGCAGAATGAATTGTTTACCTGGCAATTGATAGGTAGATTGAGCGGTTTCATTCACTCCGGCATTCAGTGAAGATGAAGCGTCAGGCTCGTTTCCGTTAATAAGCCTTGGTAAAAGTGCTTGAGTTGTTGGACTAGACTCTGAATTGTCTGGAATATTTTGACTAGTAGACGCTGATTCACTCGCATTTTCCATTGGGCGATCAGTAACGTAAGAACTCAAAAAGTCGCCGTCGGTGAAAATGTGTCAATTGAACGGATAAATTCCAGATTTAGAGAAGCCGCTCTTAATGTTCTTAGGAGTCATTGCTTCGTCAGCAGCTTTATGAACTATAGATGCAATTTTATAGATGTCGATAGGCACACCTGGTTGTTGTTTCATCAAACTATCGCACTCTCCATTATAAACTGTTTTAAAAGGGCTATAAACTGAAACGTCCAAAGGTTGTAGGCGATTACTGCAGTGTGGTGGAAGAGTCAAAAGGATAACACCATTGTCAACAGCTCTCGTGGTTGTCCATAATTAACAATTGATGGTTCTCTTGAGAAGAATTAGTGTGTTGAATAAAATGATCCAAGACCTTGGAAAACAAAGTTGATGTCATCCAACTAGATGGATTGGCCAAGCCCAATGTTCCTGGAATACACTCTGTCAGCATGTGATCTTTAAAATACACTCTTGGAAAGACCATTGCTTGCTGCAAACAAGTACTAGATGCACTAACAAGACGTAACAGTAATCCCTTTTTCTCCGCTGGTAGCTTTATAGACTTGTTTAACGCCTCTTTTTGCAAGTACATTTTTTGGAGCTTGAACAGTGCAGATTGACGTTTCATCTAAATTCCAAATCTTATGTCCATCAGTAAATAATTCCGGCCACCTTTCCTTGATTGTCTCCAAGTTGTCAAAAAAGACACCAACATTGTGTTTGTTGAAAGATGTCAGTCGGGATAAGCTACAAGCTTCTGGTTTACGGAGGCTCACTGTTGGATTGCGTCTTATGAACCCTTTNAACCAATCTTCACCAGCTGCTTTGTTGTCTGCCCAAGACTTTGGTATCTTCTTNTGATTCTTCTCCGCAAAACTAAGAACCAATGCCAGAAAATCTTTCTTGGGTAATCTAAATGCCATTTGACTGCACCGAATTAAATACTGCGCCAACGCTGCCTCTTCTTTTTCCATAAAGACTTTTCTGTTTGAGTAATTTGGAGACATTTGCATTGGCTTGTCTGGATTTTCTTTGCATATTTTCACATAACGAGCCAAAGTTTGGAACTTGATGTTGTAGTACTGAGCTGATTTTCAAACAGAAATTCCTCCTTTCATGACTGCATGAACTGCCATTCTCATATCATCATCAGTAAATTTTGCGCGTTGTCGTTCCTTTTTTGGTCGCATCTGAAAATTATATTTAATTGTTTGAACAATGTAAATTTTTTTAAAATATTAAAAGTTGCTTCATGCGGGAAAAAATTTGTTGAATTTAACAATTCCTACAATAATTATTATAGATGTATTTTCTTTTCTTGTATAAGATAAATAAATAATTTAGAGAAGTTTAATTTTAATAATATAAATAAATTAAAATTATTGTTACAAATCTACTTCAAATTTTAGATTAAGTAGTGTTTTCAGTGTTTTTAGATCATAAACTATANTGTAATTTCATATTTTACATTGAAAAATTGATTTAAAAAGATTAATACACTTACCTTGACTAAGGTTGTTATTGTTTATAAAAAATACACCTTATCAATTAACTTAACATAATTTACGGCAAAACCTATAGCCCGCCAATTTAATTGTTAGTCACATGGGCTTTGAGCGTTGCTGCGCTGTCTCATTGTGTACCGAACTTGCCGTCTCATTGTACCTTGAGCGACTTTTTTTGTTACATTATTTTTTATTGTTAATTATATAAAATTTTTTCCTTAATCAAATTAATGACTTTATTTAGAACAAATTAAGCTACTGAAATAAAATTTTAAAAACAAAAAAACTTCAAATATTTAATGAAATAAACAAAATTTAAAAACACGTAAAAAAAAAATTAGAGGCTTGAAAACACGTTTCTTTAAATAAATAAAAAACTAAATTTTATTTAATAACAAAAATCATATACGTCGGTAAAGAATGAAAAAGTACATATAAAAAATAAAATACAAAGTGATTTTGCCAATTATTGCTTATTATAAATAGAGTGTCTCATTGTGTACCGTGTCTCATTGTGTACCGGTCTTCCCTATATATATATGTGCTACTGACTATATACAGGGTGTCCCAGAATTGGTGTAACATCTCTCGTAGACAAGTAGAAGGAGTAAAACTGAGGTGAAAAGTCCTATACCATTTTGCTAGATTCGCAATAGTTACCGAGATTTTAAGTAACAAAGATCCGCGAATAAGCGTGCATCGGGCTGTCTTACGCGCGTAGGACAGCCCGGCGCGCTTCGCACAATTACATTTTAATATGTATATTTTATAGTATGTGCTGTTATATTAGCTCCTCCCATATGTCGCTATGGGTAACACTGTTAGCGCGCGAAGCGCACTGGGTTGTCTTCTTTCTGGGCTGTTCTGGGACACCCTGTATATAGTCAGTAGCACAAGAGCGGAAAGAATTGTTAGCGGGAAGAAGGAAGACAAGAAAGAAAACTAAAAAGACGAGAGAAAATATATATAGGTATGTGTGTAACAATAACATATATAGTATATTATTTATAAATATCGCTCGAAAAAAACGGACTACCGTTAAACTTTAACACAATTTTAATAGTTCATAACTGTTGAGATAAAAGAAGGGTCAAATTATTGATAAAAAAATAGTCTACAAAAATATTTAACAAAATAGCAAATGTTGATATTTTATAATAAAATTGTATTTAAAAATAACATATATAAAATTATATTTAAAAAAATAAAAAATAATTGTCGATATTAACATTTGTTTCTTACGCGTACGGGAATGTACACACAGAAAAATATTATTCTATTTCTAAGAAAAATAATTACTCAGTTTATTTTCTTTCTTTTAAGTAATACAGTGGCCCCAAAAAAATGTTGATGTGCCAATACTTTTTGGGGCCACTGTAGTTAACTTCAACACAGAATATTTTCTTGACAATAATCTTACAATATATTCATTACAAATTTTTAAAAAGTTTAATATTATGTACTTGAAAGAAGAATATATTACCTTTTCGAGGATAGTGTAAAACTTTATCGGAAAACATGTAAATTAGGTTAATTTGAATATTTGAAAATATATTAATGCAAGAAAAGTCAGTAGCTTAGGGAAAACAAGTTCAATAAGTTTCTTTCGATATCATGCAACTTTAGAAGAAACAAAATATTAATTTTAAAACAAGACATTATTCCTTTATTTTAAGTAAATCAATTTCTCAATCCGCAACAATGTTATCTCCAAACAAATAATTACTTTTATTCAATCAAATAAATTAGTCTATTATAATTTTGTAGAAGAATATAATATACTTAAAATCAACATTTCTCTTTTCTGAGTCTGCGCATTTATTATTCACATATGCATAGTCGAAATCGCGACGATTTCCCGCCATTGATTGCTATTGTCGTGCAGTTGTGTGTAATATTACGTCATTAATATAACGCTGAGCACATACTTGGTTTACTAGTGTATTTTATTGTGCTTTTTATCATAGAAGATAGTGCAAATCCTGTGTCCAATATTGCAGATCTTCTAGAAAAGATCGGTTGCAGCAATCTAATATCGCGATTTGAAGGTAAGTAATCAATTAATATTATAACATATTGCTTAAAACTATAACCTCTGCACAATTAAACATACAATTCTTACTAGTAAATCTCATTAACAATTGTGAACTATATATATATCTACCATGTTTTATTATATATTATAAGTTGTGTCGTATACGGTATGTTGTTTGGAAAAGTGCCCAGTAAACAATTTGCTCGGAATTTGCGAGCAAATTGGTNACAAATTAGAGCAAAATTATTCAGCAAATTGGCATCAACTATGTCNGCATTAAGCTTAGAATTTGTCGCCAAACCTTGTTGACAAAACGTAACAGCAAATTGCTGACAAAACCCGAGCAACGTTTGATAACATAACCTGAGACCAAATTGACGCCAAATATGAAGCAAGGTCTCTGCGCAACACAGTTTGAGAGCAAAATGACAGCAAAATCCGTGCAAGATTTGCAGTTCGAGCATGTGGTATTTAAATATATACAGGGTGTCCCAGAATGGCCGTACAATCTCTCGTAGGCAGGTAGAAGGAGTAAAACTGAGTCAAAAAGTCTTATACCATTTTGCTAGATTCGCAATAGTTACTGAGATTTTAATTAACAAAGATCCGCGAATAAGCATGCAT